TAAACCGCCCGGGCCACCATGCCATCAAGCAGGCCGTTCTTCTTCAATTTCATTGCCTTGCGCTTGAAGTGTGAATAATCCCTAAGGCTCCATGTACCTACATAGGGACCCCTTTAAAGCTTAAGTATCTACTATAAAGGTACATGGGGGCTTTGGGAATGAGCAATAGTGCCGCCTCGTTGTCCCGAAGCAGTAGTTGCTGTTTGGTCTACAACAAAACCCAATTCTAATGAATACGGCTCCTACATTGCAGCGTGATGGTTCTCAGTTCTCACGGAGACAAGATTCGTTTATACCCCTGTTTTTCTCTAATTTCAGCATGGCGCTGCAAACCGCCATGTTTGTCGTCTTTTCTGCATGCTTTTCGATGATGCTGACATCAGCTTGACTCACGCTTTTATCAGCAGGGCCCTTAGGGTGTAAGGGGGCGGTCCTAATACGGCCTATAATTGGGGAAGTACAGCACCCATCCTCTCCCCCCCTACTCCCCCTAAGGGTCCCTATGATTTTACTTGTGATGAAATCCCAGCATGAACCGACCGCCTGCCAGGTTCGTGCAAGGGTCCTTATCGTCCTGGCTGGTACCCAAAGGGTCCTAATTACAAGCATAGTCGAAAGTAGGACTTCTAGGAAATACTATTGCGGTTTGGGCAAGTAATTATCCCCCATATAGGTCAATAGGACCTTTGGGGGTATAAGAGTGGTTACCATTATCCACCGTGAAGTAGTCGCAGCAGTAGCAGCAACAGCAGCAGTATGGCTATGTTTGTTAGACTGCTCGTGCTTGCCACAAAACTAAAGACTTCAGGGAGGGTTGGGGTTTTCGATTTAGTAAGGTTTTAGGTCCCAAAATCCATACTCTAAGTGGAACCTGTGGACCTTGAAACCCTGTTATTTGGGTACTTGGACCCTTTAGGGAACCACACAATCCCCAACCTTTGTTCCCAATACCAGAACCCAAAATCTAATATACTGAAGACTAGTTATATAGTCAGCAACAGTCTTCGCCTTCTTGGCCTTCACATAGTCATATCATTCATAAACCCCGGTAGAACCTCTTTGCAGTCTTTTGGGCAAGCCTTTGGGCGGCCCTGGCAGTCTTTCTTGAGGTCTGCTGGCGGCCCGAAACCGCTGCATCTTCCTTGCGCACGCGCGGAGTCCTCGTCGGTGCCGGCACCGCCCGGCACCCGGTGTGTCCTGGTCTCGGGATCTTGTGGTGGGGGCGGAGGGGTTGATTATTTTGAGTTTTTGGGCCTGATCGTTTTTACAGCACTTCTATTCGAAACCGCAAGGCAATGCCAATAGCTATTTAAGAAAACCAAAATAAAATGAGGGAAGCGAAACTGCCTGCGTGCACAGATGCCTGCAGCGTTTCCGCGGGTAAAACATCTTAGATGGAATCTGATTAGAAAGTCCCACTACTGAAACACCGGCGGCTGATAATACTCTGACCGCATGGTCTCTGAATCGTCGTGTCAGGAGGCTCATTTGTATCTTCGGTTCCAAAAAGCCCTGCGCAAAGCTGAATTCAGCAGCAAAGTCCTACAGTAATTCCTGGTGCGTGACTCTGCAGTCCGAAACGTCAGCATCATTCGGAAAGTGCTGTCTACTGTGGGACTAAAACTCCAGCAAGTTCTCGCAAAAGCTTTGATTTCGGATGTTAGGCCCAATGTAAGTCTTGGACGTCGGAAGCTGGCACCCAAGATACAATCCAGAATATACCACCCAATAACTGAGCTGGATATCGATGCCGCAGTGGTGGCCAGAGACAGGCAAAGAAAAAAAACACCGTCTGAAATACCCTAAACCCTGAAGCCCTAAACCTCTAAATCCTAAAAATCCCTAAAGTTACAGATGGGCCATGGCCGCAAGCACTCCGGCATTCTCCCAAACACCAGCTACTATAAGGGCCTTAATAATTGCCTGTACTATTTTGGGGGTTCCTTCTTATACTATATATAATGGGCCCCAAAACCCTATTCTAATTACTAAGGCCCCTATAGTACGCTTAGTTCGCGTGCGAGTGAGCGGCGAGCAAGTGCAACACGTCTTTGGCGATCCGTCAGACATACCTTCCCCCAGGGCTCCAGTCACCTCAGTAAGTAATGGGTTACCGGGATTATTGGGTGAAATATTCTATGGTTAAGGTTCAGGGCCGTTGGTCTTACCTTTCGTCGGAGGTTTTATTTGTTTAGCACGCAGTGCTGCAGCTGTAGTGGTTGTTCGTCGTAGGTAGTGTTGCTTGATTGCACCCACTATGCCATCCTCAGAACCAGAAGCATCACTCATCGTCGTTATGATCATGCTAACGCCCGCGGCGCTTGCCTTTTCACTGCTACAAGCACCAACTCCAGTTCTAGCAGCAGCAGCAGCAGTGCCGCAGCCGCCGCGCCCGCCGCCCCAGTGCCGACACCAGCACCGGCACCACTACGACCTTCCGCTCATCACTGCCACGTTTGCAAAAACCACTATCAGCATCGCCATAGATGACATCACGATCAGCTGGATGATAAATCTCCATCCTCGTCCAAGGCATCATGTCCATCATAAGCAACACAAGTTGTTGCCTATGCGCACAAGATGCTGGCGTGTTTCCTCAGGATGCCCGTTTCCCTAAGGCTCCATGTACACTTATAGTATATACTTAGGCCTTAAAGTACCTACATAGGGACACCTTTAAGGCTTAAGTACCTACTATAAAGGTACATGGAGCCTTTGGGTTTTGATCGCGACTCATTGTCGCTCTCATCATCGCCCACGGATCCTCGAAGCCCGGCTCCCCAGATCCACAACCAAATGGGAGTTTCCGAACATAGGGTTTAGGGTTTAGGGTTTAGGGAACATAGGGGACCCTAATATAGTACCCTAAGCAGTAGGATCCTTATTATAAAGACCCAAAGTAGGTACCCCCCCCCCCCCAATTTTCGGAAACTCCCAAATAACCAAATGACCGAGACGCGGGCATTCCCGAAGGCAGGGGATTTGAATATAGAGTCTGAACGGTAGATCGCTTGAATCTTTGGACCACGAAAAGGTACCGATTCTCTTTTCCCGGCAACGCTGCAAACAGAACATTGCTAGACAAGGACGGAGTCTGCAAGTAGAGCGCCTGGGTGAGATGTATAGGGACGTAGGGCGTTGCATTGAAAATGTAGGGCTCACTTGAATCCTATCAATCCCACCTTGTAAGGTTCGGTCTTATGATTCTTTTATAGCTGTGCCTGTACACCTGCATGTACTGAATCCTGAAGATACGAGTTTTCATCGGTTTGGGGTTTAGGGCAGACCTTCAGTTACTATGAAGACCCGGGGGAAATAGACGTCCGAATGTTTGGAAATAGTAATATCAAACCCAATCTATATATATATATATGTGTAAGCTTTAGATTTCGCTCCTTCTGCCAGGATGGGAAAATCCGGCAGTGGCACGTTACGAGCGGCAAGTGTCTGCAGGACCGGATGGTGGGGATGTTGGGAGTAGGACATTCCATTTACAGGCACGCTCAGGTTCAGACTGAGCCAAATCCTAAGATACCACTGAATCCCAAATCTGAACCGTAAACCCGATACCATAGATCCCAGAAAACTCTAGACCATAAGCCATAAACCTTAACCTTAAACCACATAATCTAGATTGAAAAAACAAAAAAGCACCCTAAGCCTTGCAGAGCCAAGATTTCGGGACCTCGGCAAGTTGGGAGGCCGGCTCGCAGACGTTTAACGCCCGAACAGAACCGAACCCGGAATCTTTCGAATAAAGCGAAGTTCATGTATGTACTGAGGCCAAGACATTGACTAAATCGGTTCAGGGTCTCTGAGCCCAAAGGCTCCATGTACCTTTATAGATACTTAAGCCTTAGAGGTCTCCCTATGTAGGTACTTTCAGGCCTAAGTATATACTATAAGGGTACATGGCATCAGAAAACGCACGACTTTGGGCTGAGTTCTTATCCTACTCATTCCATCTTGCTGCGAGGACGTGCACGTGGGTGACGAAGCAGAGCAGCTTCTTTGTGCGATCGCCCCAGAGCCCGGATTGCACCCTTGTCGCTGCCGTGTCTGTGTTGTTTGTTGTTTGTTCGTGTTGCCCTGTACTCGTAGTCACCAGCGTCGTGGTTGAAAGTGTGTCGTGGGTGTGCTTGTGGTGGCTGTTTCCGTTGGCATTCGTGTTGCATTTTTGTGCTGTGTTTTTTTCCACTCCGCGGTTGGTGTAGTTGTGGCCCCCCTTCTATTCGTATGGTTGCAGTGCTGACGTTTGCTGTTGCTGTTTCTGTTGCAGCTGTTTTGGTTAACGGTGCCAGTACTGGTCGTGCTGGTACCGATGCTGCTACAGCTGGTCCGCTGGGTGTTTGGTATGCACTGGTGCGGTGGCAGCTGCGGGCAGCAAACTCACAGAATCAGCACGTTCAGCATGCACGGTTGGGCGGGGATGCGCGCTTTGTGTCCGAAGGAGTCTTGCATCACCCTAGGCCCTAAACTAAACCATCCAATTTTTTTTACGAGGCCGTTCTTGAAACTGCTTGAGTGTCGCAACCAACGCTTTGAATTGTGCTGTCTATGTATGTCTGTATTTTTCTGGGGCCTCCAAGAACGGCAGTCGCCTGGGCGCAGTATATCACAGAATCTGAGTTGTCCTAGTGTCCTAGTGTGATTGACAGGCTCCTATAGTACGAATCATTGGATCTGCAACATGTGTTCAGAATGTTCAAAATTTCAGGATTTCAGGTCTGGGCGATTCAGCATTTTGCGGGCAGTGTGAGCTAAGTTCAGGGTTCAAGTTTCAGTAGGGAATAAGGGGCTTCAGTTAAGGGCAAAAGGATCGCATCTGAGGCTCTGTTGCTTGCATCTGTGGGTGACGGTATGCAGGGATCTAGGGTTGCTGGAATTGGGCGAAATCAGGGTTGGGGGTATTAGGGTGTGAGACTGGTGTAGCGCGCTGGCAGCCTTCTGAACCTCATGCAGCTACTTGGATCCAGAGCCCCGCACCGAAAACCGACGCCATGGATGTGTTTCTCCTGAATGGCAGCACTGTCCGGGTCCGTGCAGAACAAGGTGCTTCGTTGCATAGAAAGCTTCTTGTCCTTGTCAATCCTAAAGTTTAAAAGCTTTATGACCCTATCAACCTGAGTGTTTCGGCTTGCATGCGTTTTGATCACTACCACTATCACTACCACGACCACGACTACCACTCCGCTACCACTGCTACGGCGAGCCGCTACGGCTAGTAGTACTACTACTACTACTACTACTGCTACTACTACTACTACTGCTACTACTACTTCTACTACTACTACTACTACTACTACTGCTACTACTACTACTACTACTTGTATTAGTATCACTACGACTCTACGACTCTACGACTCTACGACTCTACCACTACAATTTTACCACTACCACTACCAATACCACTACCACTACCACTACCACTACCACGACCACGACCACGACCAGTACCACGACCACGACGACCAGTACCACTACCACTACCACTACCACTACCACTACCACTACCACGAATACTACTACTACTACTGTTACTACTACTACTACTACTACTACTACTACTACTACTACTACTACTACTACTACTACTTCTACTACTACTACTACTACTACTACTACTACTCCTGCTCCTGCTGCTACTGCTACTGCTACTGCTACTGCTACTGCTACTGCTACTGCTACTACTGCTAGTACTAGTACTACTACTACTACTACTACTACTACTACTACTACTACTACTACTACTACTTCTACCTACTACAACTACCTACTACTACTACTACTACTACTACTGCTACTACTACTACTACTACTCCTGCTACCGCTACTGCTACTGCTACTACTACTATTACTACTACTACTACTACTACTACTACTACTACTACTACTTCTACTACTACTACTTCTACTACTAGGGTTGATGATATTAATCCATCCTGCATTACTTTAAGGCCTTATAAGCTATGGGAATTATGGCACATTCCTTCTTATGGGTAATGCAGGGTTTATATCATCAACCGTACTACTACTACTACCACTACTACTACTACCAATCCACGTCCACTGCCTTTCAAGCGTTTGCACGGTGCTCGTTTCGTTCGTCACTTCCAATTGCCCAAGCCGTGCAAAGATCTATACCCTGAGTTGTAGGATTCTAGTCCGAAGCTAGATTTAAACAGGCTCTTTATTCCAGGGTCTTGCTGCAAGCTACAACGTTTATGGCGAACAAAATGAGTATCATATATACTTATGCATGCACACGGAACCATGGTTATCTGCGAGCCCCGAATGCGCCTTTTGTGCAGATTGCAAAGGGCAGGGAGTACAACCTGCATGGGACGTCCTGAGTGCCTAGGTGATAGAACATGTCCACCAACACGATCGCATCTGGGTGACCGGGTGCCCGTCTTTCTGACACTCTGAAGCCACCTATAGAACGCTTCTTGTAGAGCCCGTGTTTAGGCCGCAGGCCCTAAACTGTTCGTGGTACCTGGTATCTGGAACATGTCGGCTACCCAGGCCGGACAGTCTATCGATTCGTAATATGCATGTATAGTATAGGTCATCATGTGTCCAGCATTGGTCCCCAGCTGCTGATGCAGGACTTGATGTTGCCAAGGAGAAAGTGGCCAAGGTGCGACTGTCTAACCAAAATGTTTATATAATAGCAGTGCTGCCATGCATTAATACATATATATGTATATATAGACGTGTGCTCAGTATCAGACTGTTTCTTTCTTTGGCTGTAGCTTGCACTCACATCTATTGTTGATCCACAGCGCACCTGGCTGGTTGATGATGGTTAACTTGGACCCTGGATTGTAATTAGCACCATTTTGGGGTGACCTATTTTATGGCTGAGATCCCATATTCATTAAGGTAACGATGGAAAGTCTTGCAATCCACACTCCAGGCAGAGCTCATTCCGTATAGAAAACCGCCGGTTATCCCGTGTTCTTCCCCACTTCTGCAGGCTTCCTAGGGGATCATGTTCTGTTTTCATTATAACAAAACGAGAATCGACTCGATTTTGAAATTTCTACTGTGTTTTATGAAGGTTCTTCTCGTGCGGCATTACGGTCTGGTGCCGGGTTTGGGATGTAGTTGGGTGTTTCCCTTTTCGGCTTTTGGTAGTTTCCTGGTTCAATGCATGTTTTGAATAAATAGCATTTGCACTTGCGTGTGCGTAAAGCCCATACACTTACTGTCCACGTGGTGTTTGAAGCCACTTTTGATCTATCATCATGACCTGTTAGATTAAAGAAGTGTTTGCAGATACCCATATCACATATCTTGTTGCCAGTCGCCAGTCCTTATCAGCAACGGCAGATCCTTGCTGACTGGGCAATCTGACCTCATTGCAAATCCAACAACTTAGAGCTAAGAAGGCACATCGCTCGTAGACCTCAAACCCAAAACCCTACACCGTAAGCAGTCAAGCACTGCACCCTAAAACTCCAAACCCTTAACCCACTAAACCCACTAAAAGCCCATAAACCCCCTAAACCCCAACCCCCCCAAAACCCTAAGGCCCTAAGACCCCGAAAACAGCTGATCCTAAGTGCCACCGACTCGAAGAAGGCTCTGAAAGCCTTGCCGCTTGCCGTGGTCCTGTCGCGCGGCGGTGAGGCGATACTTAGGGACCCAAAAAAGCACATAAGCATAAGCATCTTATAGGGATCCCTACCTTATGGGGCTTCATTATGAGGGGGTCTTACATGGGATATCCATATCCTAAGTTTTGCTTATGTGCTTTTTTGGGGGCCTTTCGGGGAGGTTCGAGTCGAGTTTGAGCCGGTTCTGGGTTTCCTATACTTTATCATAGCTGGGTAGCATTTTACATGTTCATGAGTACTTAAAACCAATAAGGAATCAAAAAATACATGTAGAAATCCTATCCCAACCATGAACAAGTATAGTCTACAGCACCTACGAGTTCCTTAAAAGGGTTCTTAATGGGATCTATAAGGGTTCTATACGGGTATAACCTATAGTCTCCATTGTAGTTCCTTTTTGGATTAACAAGTTTTAAGGTTAGGATCCTATGCTATACGTTTGGTTAGCCAGAACAAGGAGCTATAATGGAGACTATAGTTATGAACTGGGATCAAACAACGGGTTTAGGTAGAAAATAAGCCAGAAGGCGTGATCGTGATCCCTTCAAGGTGAAGCATAAGGAAAACTAGGCGTAAATGTATCAATCCATGCTCCGCTTGTGGACTTTATCGCTGGCTTTATGTGTAAAAGCATCCACGATAATGGTTTTATAGGGTTTAGGGTGTCTAAGCGTCGCATGGGTCGCAGATCAACATTGTCAAGGAAGTGCCGCCTCGTCCATGGTTTTTAGACTCACTTCAGGTACGCGTCACAGAGGTCATCAATGAGCAACAGTGCCGGGTATGATTCGGTATGATATCTGCAGCAAAACCACGACGCTAGTGCCAACTGAAGAAGCAACAGCAACCATGTCAGCCAAAGCAAGCGCTGCAGCTACGGAGAGATGCAGCAGGAGGCACAGGAGCAGCAGCAGCACTCGTGCCGCCAACCGCCACCATCGACAGCTCTAGTGTCGTAGTGCTGGTGACAACCGTAGCAGTGGCAGTAGCAGTGGCAGTAGCGGTAGGGTGGAGTAGTAGTGGGAGTAGCAGTAGGAGTGGTGGTCGTCGTGGTCGTCATCATCGTCGTCGTCTTCGTCGTCGTTGTTGGCGTTCAGGTAGGTTTCGAGTATCCATGACTAGTCTTAGCTGTAGGGTCAGTAAGCTTTGACCTTTGCAGGGCTATCACAGTCCCTTATGACTCCCAACGATCAGCCATTTGTTTCCTGTATTACGCAGGACAAGTTCTGCAAACGCGCACTACTTAGGGCCTAGGGCCAAAGTATATACCATTTGGGCACCTGGATTCCTATGGATTAGCCTCCGCAATTAGCAGAATCGACCCAAAACCCCAAAACCTAAACCCCAAATCATCCAACGCCCCTAAACCCTAAGCCTCACCAAAGCCCTGAACCATCCTAGCCCTTAAACCCTAAGCCCTAAGCCTCACGGACGCCCTGCAGGACCGTCCTAAGCCCCTAAACCCTCTGCCGCACCGAAGCCCGGAACCATCCCAAACCCCTAAACCGCAAACCCTACCTGTAGCCGAAAAGACTTACCTCTTTCAGGAATAATATGGGAGTTTCCGAAAATAGGGGACCCTAATATAGTACCCCAAATAGTAGGATCCTTATTATAAGGACCCCAAAATAAGGTACCCCTGAGTTTCGGAAACTCCCATATAAAGACCATAATGAGGCACCCTAAAACGTTAGGTCTTGTCGGCTACAGGTAAGCCCTAAACCCCAAAGCCCCCTAAACCCTAAACCCTAAACCCTAAACCCTAAACCCTAAACCCTAAACCCCTGAAGGTGGTGACTGAGCTCGTCGAAGATGGGGAGCTGCTTAGGTGCTCAGCAGGTAACCTTTTACCTTTTTTGGGGTTTAGGCGTTAGGCTCTAGTGTTTAGAAGCAAGGGTTTAGGCTTTAGAGTATAGGCTAGTGTATGTATGTATGTATATACATACACACATATGGGTGGTTGTCAAGATTATGGTCCCTCTTTGGGTCCTTATTACAATACGGCACCTTATATCTAAGGTACCCAAAACGGGACCAGAATTTTAACAATCACCCATATCACCTTACAATAAACTACAAGGTTGACCCCGAAACCCTAAACCCTGACCCTTTAGGGTTTAGGGTTACAGGGAACTCCAGAAAGTTGGAATATGGATTCATGGTAGGATACCCTATAATTTACCATAGAAGGGTTAGGATAATCATATTCCAACTTTCTGGCTTTTACCTTATAAGGGTTTATCAGCATCTTAAGGCCCCTTTTTGCAGTGGTGGATCCACGGCGTTTGCAGCTTGCTGAACACTGGCAATCGTTTCAGGCGCCACCCTTGTCCTTTACCGGCTAGTAGATCTGCTTAAATAATTCCTACTAAGGGATATAGGTACAGGGCTCTGTCTATTATTTCTACAAGGACAAGGGTGTCAGGCGAATTGCCAGCACTTGAGGGTGAGCACGGGGTTTATGTGGCGGCCTTTTTCTTGGAAGGGCAGGGGACTTACATAGTAAGTAGGTTCTAAGTAGAGTTATAAGTACCCTACATGGAGTGACCCCAATTATAACCCTACTTATAACCTACATACTAAGTCCCCTGCCCTTCCAAGTTTGCCCTTCCACATTGCATACACCGGGCAAAAAGGTGCACGATTCAGCATCTTATGATTTGCGATATGCTGCTGAATGAAAGGGTTGCGGGTTCTCTGGATCTGACAGCGCGTCCAGATCTGACGGGTTCAGCAGTGTCAAGAGTTTAAGGGTGTGGGGGTTCAGGGAGGGGGGTAGGGGGCCTTAGCATCTATAATAACAAGGACCAAATACGCCCTATTTAAGGAAGTATAGTCCCCTACTCGCCTCCCCCCCCCACCCCCTTAAGGGTCCCTACGATAAGGGTGGTGATCATGGCCGCGACTTGACAATGACGACGGCGAGTGCGAAAGTGATGGCTAAGATGTCTTGGATGACAGGATGGTACTTGCAATCGCAACAGACAACATGATGATGACCAAGAATATGTAAGACATTGACGGGGATGTGATCGTCATCATCATCTTCTTCTTCATCATCACCATCATCATCATATTTGTCATCATCATCTGGGTCGTGCCATGTCTTATCATGCAAGCAGGGCCTCTCAAACATTACCTAAGACCTGCCCACTTCAGTCCACTGGTCAGGTTTCAAGCCTAGGGAGGCACGGGTCGGAACGGGGTTTAGGGCTTCGTTCTTTGGGTTCAAGCTTGAGGTTCAACTAGCCTCCTTGGCGCCATACGGCCTTGATGCCTGAGGATACAATTTACACACATTTAGCGTCAGATCCCGAGTGAAGCCCCCTAAACCCTAAACCCTAAACCCTGATCCCGAAGACCGAAATTCTGAAGCCAAGAACAGTGAGCCCTGATCCCGAAGACCGAAATTCTGAGCCCTCAAACTCGAAGTCCCTGGCCCTGAACCCAGAGACTCCAATATCCCTTAATTAAGGAATATACCTTAAATTATAGTAGGATCCTTAATATGATTTAAGGAATATTCCTTAATTAAGGGATATTGGAGTCTCTGGGAACCCTGAATCCTAAGCCCAGCGTCAGGAGAAGCTGCCTCGCGTCAAAGAGCAGCGCTGCTTGGTAGGCAAGCTCGGCGACAAACTGGGCACTGAGAGGCGATTTGGGTTCAGGTCTCAGATCGCCGAGACGTCGCTGCTCGTCCGACTTATGTTAGGGCTTGGGTTTAGGGTTTAGGGTTTAGGGCTTCGACCATAGGGGCTTACTAAACCCTAAGGCTCCATGTACCCTTATAGTATATACTTAGGCCGTAAAGTGCCTACATAGGGACCCCTTTAAGGCTTAAGTATCTGTAAACGTACATGGAGCCTTTGGGTAAAAGGCGACTCTAAAGCTCCAACTGGTTTATTCGAGATACCGGCCCAAAACTGTTTTGGGGTTACGGCTTGAGCGATAGGCTGGCTCGATTTGAGAGTTTCCGAGAATCAGGGGTACTTTATTTTGTCGTCCTTATAATAGCGATCCGACTATTTGGGTGCTATATTAGGGTCCCCTATTTTCTCAAACTCACTTTTTGGATTTGGAGGAGAACCGCTGAGCCATAGACCCCAAACCCTGATCCGCGTGCCCTGTCTCCAAAGCACACACAAATCTCAAGATTTCGTGGCAGTTCTCGGTGGAGCTTCCATTCCAAAGGGGTCTAGTGCAGTTTTCTTTTCTAAGGCTTCTTTGTTTGAGCGTCCTTGAAGCTACCCCTTCAGATAAGACTTCAAAGAAGGATGCCTTTAGGGGATCCCATTCGCAAGACCTCTAGGCAGCCAGGTGCACTGTAGGAGTCGTCGTATTCCCCGTCGCGGTCGTCGTCGTCGTGATCGGAGGGTGAGTAGGAGCCGCAGTAGCAGCAGTGTTTTGACCCGTTTGTAGACTTGTCTCTCACCGGTTCGGAATGTATGTGTGGATATGTATATATATATATATATATATGCATGTACATGCATATACAGATGTACATATACATGTACATATGTATATATATATATATATATATATATATATATATACACATATGTTTTGTGTCTTGAGCCTCCTATAGTATGCTTATGCTAACCATTGCCTTGAATATCTGCCTCGTCCAGCTGCCTCTAGCCTCGCGCCGCGTCAGCCTCCAGGTCCAAGCTCAGGTTCGGCACGGTGTCCTTGAAGGATTCACGGTTTAGGGTGTAGGGTTTGGATGTCATATGGTAGCCGGAATAATGAGGTTTAGTGCCGTTTCTTAGTCGTCCACCATATTAATGTTCGGGCAGATAGCAGTGTGATTAGCTCCATCACACTGAACCTTATCTCCGTTGTTGTTACCCTAGTTTCTTCGTCTCAGATCAAGACTCTGTCGGTTGATCTTGCTACTTCGGTCGTCCTAGTCGAAAGCCTTGTGGCTTAAGGGTGTAGGGTTTAGGGCATGTTGCATTGCTGGTACTAGGGCTCCGGGCTGCTCCGTACTTAGGATTTAGGTCCCTGTTCCAGCCTGTTGACCCGTCGTTCCTTCTGACTTCGTAATGGTTCGGGTTGGGGCTTTCGGGTTTAGGGTTTGAGGGGGCGGAAGACGCCTTAAGTCACTTCCTCATACCCAGCCCCATTGTAGGTGTACACCGCAATCAAGTTCATGACCCTGAACCCTAAGCCCTAGAAGTGCTAGCCTTTACTTAGGGGTACTTAGAAATAATTTTTAATGTTTGGTTAATATAATCCCTAAGAAACATCTAAAATTATAATTGTTGCTAGGGTTCTAAGTTCAGTATAAAGGGAACTCCAGAAAGTTGGAATATGGATTAATGGTAGGATCCCCTATAATTTACCTTAACGGGGTTACGATAATGATATTCCAACTTTCTGGCTTCTACTGTAGGTTACAAGCCACATAGACTCCTGGATAAGGCTTGTATTTTCTGTCATATGCCACAATTCAGGGTGATGGGATTCGTCTAGCCGTGGACCCTGAGCTGTGAAGGTAGCCCCATAACTATACACATCTAGGACCCAGAGTAGGCCCTTATTCCCTTTTTTAAGGTTTAGGTTCCCTTATAAACCCCTTTAAACTAAAAAGGGCACCCTTTTTATTCCTAGGTTACTCTTAGGCCTAGACATACTTAAAGGAACCCTCAAAGGAATCCTGAGGCCTACAAGAAACCCGTATACAAAGCCCTTCGACCCCCGTAAAACGCCCCTGAACCAAACCCTTGTCAGAACCTGTAAACCCTAAACCCTAAACCCTAAACCCTAAACCCTAAACCCTAAACCCTAAACCCCTAAACCCCTAAACCCCTAACCCTTAACCCTAAACCCTAAACCCTTAAACCCTAAAAACGGAGCGCTGGGTCCGAAACCCTTAAAGGACCGAACCCTGGAAAAGAAGCCTCAAAAGAACTCTTGAAGGAACCGCGTGTCTTTAAGGTTCCTTGCAGGGTTACTAGGTTGGTGAAAGGGCTTCTTTTAAGGGTTCCCTTAAATGTTCTATCAGGGGTCCTTTAACCCTAAGGCTCCATGTACCCTTATAGTATATACTTAGGCCTTAAAGTACCTACATAGGGACACCTTTAAGGCTTAAGTATCTACTATAAAGGTACATGGAGCCTTTGGGTAAACTTATCCCCTATAGTGTAACCTTATAGGCCCCTTCTGGTTGCTTCAACACATCCTCAAAAGGAGCGGTCTCTATCCGGGCTCCTTTGAAGGATCCGTTGAAGGAACTCCTGGGAGGAATATACCTTAAACTATAGTAGGATCCCTAATGTGATTTAAGGAATACTCCTTAATTTAGGGATATTGGAGTCTCCTAACCCCCAAACCCTATAGATTCCTTATAGATCCCCCCTCGAGGAGCCCTTTGTAGATCCCTTACAGACTCCTTAAAGGAACCCTACATATTTCTTAATTACGGGATATTGGAGTCTCTGGGTACTTAAACAGGTTCTAGAAACCTCAAAGCAACTTTCACCACCCTAAACCCTAAACCCTAACCTTTGAATCAACCGTTTAGGGTGTAGGAACCCCTCTCCCTAAGGCTCAATGTACCTTTCTAGTTGATACTTAAGCCTTCAAGGGGTCCCTATGTAGGCACTTTAAGGCCTAAGTATATACTATAAGGGTACATGGAGCGTTAGGGTCTGTTCCTGCAGGAGGAGGAGCGCCTTGTCGTTCACCTCAGCCAGCTGCAAGCCTCGCAAGCGACCTTTGAGAAGTTCGAGGAGATTTGCCTTGGGGCTTAGGCTTGTTGGGTTTTGGGGTCTAGGGCTTAGTTTAGTTCGGGGTTTGGGGTTTGGAGTTTAGTAGGGTTGAGGGCTCAGTTTTTTTGAAGGGTGCCATAAGACGAATTCATTTCAGTTCCTTGTAAGGCCGCTAAATCCAGGACTGTAAGGGATGCTCTAAGGGTTTAGGGTGATCAGTACCATAGAAAGAGGAAGGGCTTTAGAAAACAGCAAGCATACCAACTTGTGAAGATTGATGAGTAACGGCCTGGTAATCACGTACTTCGAAAGGACGAATACGGTGAGCTTGACAGCCGGCGCCGGTTGCTCTTCCAGGTGGGGTAGGGGAATATCAGGTAACAAGTTACAGATACCTTAATTCTTCACCACCAGTTATATACATATATATATAAACACAGTCACACCGACATGTGGAACACAGGTAAACATGCATACGTACATACATACATAAGTGCATACATACATACATACGTACGTACATACCTACCTATGTATGTATATATGTATGTATGTGTGCATGCATATATGCATGTCTGTATGTGTGCAGTCTGTATACGTCTGTAGGTATGTCTGTTTGCATGCCTGTATCCTGTATGTCTGTATCTCTGTCAGTGTGTTTTTATGTCTATCAGTGTGTCTGTCCGTCTGTCTGTCTGTCGGTGTGTCTGTGTGTGTGTCTGTCTGTGTGTCTGTCTGTCTTTCTGTACGTATGTATGTATGTATGTACACGTGTGTAGATATGGCCCACATGCATGTGAATAAGTGTTTGTATGTATAGGCATATATGTATACATGCATTTATGTACATATGCATATATGTACACCAGCGATATATATGTATATATGCACATATGACAATATGTATATATATATATATACATGTATATATATATATATATATATATATGTATATATATATATATATAGTATGTATAAAGATGTTCTAATATATATATATATATATATATGTACACACACCTATCTTCTTGCAACTGCACATGCACACGTACATCGAGACACAGGTTCATGCATGCGTACGTACGTACATGCGTATGTCTCTGGTTTGAGGATTGGGGCTTAGCTGTATTAACACCCTACACACAAGACCAACCAAAAGTAAAAGCCCTGCATTGCAAAACGGTGCGTCCTACACCCTTGCGGCTCGAGCATTGCACTCTGTCATAGACTGTTTTGGAGGCCCTAAACCCCAGACCCGAATTGCCAATATCATTCGATCGGCATCCTTACATTCTCTGAAGGAGCCCAAAGCCCTGTTCCAATTATGAAGACCCCCATGTCAATGGAGCAACCCTACTATACTCCTGAGGCTCCTTGTGACCATATAGTAAAAGTTTGATCTTGTAGTGCCTACATAGGATCCCCTTGAAGGCCGAAGTATATAATACTAACACAGGTACCCTCAGGGCAACCGAAGTATGTTCAACAGAGGCAGCGCTTGTTCAAGGAGCCTTTGCGTCCTCTAAGAAACCCGGAGAAAACCGTCAACGCCCCTTAAAGCAAACAACGATAAAGCGCCCAGGACCCCTTATCGAATCTCGATAAAAGCCCATCAACACCCTATCAAACCCTACCAAACCTTATGTATAAGGGCCTTAATAAGTAGAATCGGGTTTTGGGGGTTCCCGAATATAATTATAGAATAGTATACCCCCAAATCCTTTTCTATTTGTAGACCCCTTTAAGGGAGCCCTAGGAAATCCCTTTAAAGGAACCCTACCAAACCTTCCTTTCCTTAATTGACTGCGCCAGGCTGGAACGGAGCAGAAACGCGAGCTACAACGTAAGCTCAGTCAGAGCCTTGCTGGAACGCGAAGCCCCTACTTGGAAGGGCAGGGGACTTAGTAAGTAGGTTATAAGTAGAGTTATAAGTACCCTAAATGGAGTTACCCCAATTATAACCCTACTTATAACCTACTTACTAAGTCCCCTGCCCCTCCAAGAAGCCCCTACAAAAGAAGCCTAAGTCATTTACAACACTATTTGCGAGGGTTCCTTACTATAACTTAGAACTACAATACTATTTGGTGGATCCTTATCATAACCGAGAATTATAATGCCATTGTCGTTCCTCAATATATTTACTAGTATAATGGGCCACAATACCCCATTCTAGTTGTTAAGGCCTTTATACTAAAACCCTAAATCCGAATCCTAAAGACTGGAAAGCCCCTTAATTGAGGAATCTACTTTATACTAGAGCGGGATCCTTGTAGTGATTTAAGATATATTCATGAGTTAGACCTGCTGGAACTACTGAGGCCCCTGTACCCTTGAAGTCATCAAAGGAGCCCTATTCTAACTAGTACGGCCCTTCGGGTGTCTCTGGAGCTAGAATTTTTGGGGGGGGGTGAAGGCCTTAAGGTTTAAAGTCCTAGGGCTACACAAAGGTTTAGGTCTCAGGCTTCATGGTGAAGGGTGAAAGCTTCGGGGTGTTTAGGGCTTTAGGGTGCTGCTTTAGGAGGGTTCTTTCAGGTTTCATAGGGGTTGCATGCGGCTTGTACAATGTGATGTTTGGAGCAGATCCCGACTATTCAATCATTGAAGCCTGAAATCTGCTTTTCAAACTTTCCTTTCCCCCATTATGTGAAAACCTCTCTAATGTCGAAGCTCCCAATGCCTGCTCGGCTTCTTGCTAAGGAACTTTTTAACTTAAGTCAAGGTCAGAAAGAGGCCATATTCATAGGTCCCCACTATTGCATCTTCAATGAAAAAACCTTGTCAAAAGGACAGTTGTATATGCTCTGCCACATACTACCCTACATAACTGCCATCCCACACCCAAGCCTAGACCCTAAAACCCTAACCTTTAAAACAAGCTAAACCCAAAGCGTAAAGCTCCTTGAACTCCCAAGGGTGCAAGTTGGGTTGCTTCGGAGCTTGAAAGCGGGGATGAAGAGCCTCGTTCAGGGGCCTTACATGTTAGAACTGGGGTTTGGGGTTTAGGGTTTAGTGTTTGGGGTGTAGGGTTTGGGGTTTAGGAGGTTTGGGGTGTAGGGCTTAGGGTTTAGGCAACAGGGTTTTGGGGTATGCCATGCTTAACTGTGATGAAGTACATAGGACTTTCATTGAGCGGTAGATTACGGGATGTTGGAGGTTACTGGACATTCTTCAGGCTTTTGGTTTTGTTGGTTCGATGTTCTTGCTGTTTAGATAACGTCAGGTACAAGACTGCAGCTTTGGTTAACACATGGTTTTTTTCAAAAGTAGGCATGAACTATTGCTTGTAGTGAGCCCTACACTCCACATCATACTGTCTGTGCCCTTAAACCATAAACCCATAGCGCTTAAATAGCAGACCTTAAACCCCTAAACCCTAAACTCCTAAATTGTAAACGATAAGCCTATACCCGCAAACCCCAGACCCATCACTTACAAACCCTAAACCCCTAAACCCTAAACCCTGAACCGTTTCGGAGCCTCTGCTCTGAAACTGTCATTTCCAGTCCCGTAGTTACGACGGCTCATTAGCCCCTCGGTTTAGGCTTTCGAATTTAGGGCTTACTGGGGCCTTACCCCACAACCCAAAGCCCCGAATCCTCCAGCCGAGTGGGGTTCAAACTTCGTGGGGTTTTCGTGTTAAACCCAAAGGCGCTAGACACCCTAAACCCCTAAACCCTAAACTGTAAAAACTAAACCCAAAACCCCGGAGACTGAGAGTTTCGAGATCTCCCTCGCTGAGGACCGGGCCAGAGCATGAGTTCTTGGTGCAGGAGTTTGAGCAGATGCTGAACCTCGGGTTTAGGGTTTAGGGTTGGGTTTAGGGTCCCCATCAGTAGTACCTTTGTGGCGGTTTCAGAGCAAAGGCTCCAAAACGGTTCAGGGGACAGGCTCTAGGGGTTTAGGGTTTGGTTTTACATGATGGGTCTAGGGTTTAAAGGTATAGGTTCAGGGTTTACGGGTTTGGGGTTTGGTATTAAAGTGATGGGTCTAGGGTGAAAAGGTATAGGTTTGGGGTTGTGGAGTTTAGGATTTAGGGGTTTAGGGTGACCATCACTAGTACTTTTCTGCATCAATCTTTCATGTTAGTTAGTGTTTTCTATTAATCTGGTATCCTTGACTATTTCAGTGGATGGGGCACCAAGGAACAGCTGCATGAAGGAGAACCACTACAATCGATTCGCTCGCTCTGCGAGTTTCAGCAGCTCTTGCTATTGGAGTAGCTGGGACTATTTGGTGCGCCCCTATGTTCCCTGAGCCCCGAAACCTCAGCCCCATTTACATCGACTTTACTTTAATTACATGCGTTGCATCTATCAATACATCCCTGCCCACCCATCCATCCAGCCGGCCAGCAGTCCCGCCATCCATAAATACATACATACATCCATGCATGCATACACATACACACACATACACACATACACACATACGCACAACACAAGCATACATGAGCACACACACATACACACATACGCACATACAGTGTACATGCATATACCTTCATCCACCATCCATCCATCCATCCATCCAACCATCCATCCAGCCAGCCAGCCAGCCAGCCAGCCATCCATCCATCCACATCCGTCCATCCCTTCATGCATGCATGCATACCTCCATACATGCATACAATTATATATATATATATATATATATAATATATGCAAACACGCTTATTTGTTCACCTACATACATGTATGTATAGCCGTGATCGGTTCAACTATCCATACACCCGAATCACGACTGCGAGTTTAGCTTTGGCACTACTTCCTAAATATGGTTGCACTTCTAGCCAGCGGGAAGGGCAGGGGACTTAGTAAGTAGGTTATAAGTAGAGTTATAAGTACCCTAAATGGAGTTACCCCAATTATAACCCTACTTATAACCTACTTACTAAGTCCCCTGCCCCTCCAAGTAGACCCTAAACCCTAAACCCCATAGATCCCTTTTACGGAACCCTATAGATCCCTTGAAGGAGTCCTTACTAAGTCCCCTGCCCCTCCAAGTAGCTGCGGTTGACTATCGCAAGCCTGGGCCCTGAATTGCTTACGCGAGCTTCAGGTTTTTTTCGGCTTAGGGTTTAGGGTTTAGGGTTTAGGGTTACTCAAACCCTAAACCCTCAAGACCTTCCCACCTGTTAAAGTAAAACAACAGCCATCTGGAACCCCTCAGACCCTGTCTCCACGTTTGAGGTGAGTATGACTATGGCTACTATGACTTTTTCTATGATTCAAGATACGAGAGCTTCTCTGCTGGTTTACGTCAGGGCTTTTAGTGGGAAAGGTCTTGAGTCTTGAGGGTTGTTGGGTCTTTTGGTCTTGTGAAGGGCTCTGACGCCCTAGACCCCAAACCCTAAACCATAACCCCTAAACCTTGGGTACTGCCCCCCACTCAGAAACAGTTTGATAATCTTCATAATATAGATATCATAGGACCTTAGCTAAGCTCTATTATAGACTGTTACTGTATGGGGGGCCAGCACCCAACCTACACCCTACTTGCGATGGCTTTTTCGACCGGATTTCTGGAGGCTGGAAACTTGAAGGTTCCCGTGCTTAGGTACTAGGACCCAGAGTAGGCCCTTATTCCCTTTTTTGAGGCTTAGGTTCCCTTATTATAACCCCCCTTTAAACCAAATTCCTAGGTTACTCTTGGGTCTAGGGTAGCTTCTCAGTTAGCAAAGTCTCGGCTTGGAATCTACTTAGGTAGTATGAGGTTAAGGTAGGGTCTTTAGGTGTCAGTGTTTACAGTTTCAGGGTTTGCAATCGTTGCGCCTAAGATTCTTGATAAGGGCCTCAGCACAAACTTGTACCCTAGACCCATGTCCTAAACCTTGCACCCTAAACCCTCCAACACGCTCAGCAGTAAACACTCCTAGACCCTATACCCTGAACCCTGAACTCTTCCCTAACCCAAACTAGGACCCAGAGTAAGCCCTTATTCCCTTTTTTGAGGGTTCAGGTTCCCTTATAAACCCCTTTAACCCAAAAAGGGCACCCTTTTTATTCCTAGGTTACTCTTAGGTCTAGAAAAGGAGCCTGCTACCCAGTGCCGTTTTCACCCTGAGGACTGGACGCAACTACCCATGGACCTAAGAAGCCCAGACAGCTTGAGCCTCCCTTTACAGAAGGAGATACCGCACATCATGATAAGAATCTCTGTAACTGAAGGCTATCGTTAAGGAGATACCATAAATATTGATTCAGTTCTCTATATTCGACCCTAAGCCCTAAAACCCCTACACCCTAAAACGGAGAAAATAGACTGCGGTACCAAAGAAGTGCTAAGCCCCTCTAAACCCTATGCCCGATACGCTACAAACCCCAAACCCTAAACCATAAATCCCGAAAAACCCTAAAGGCCCTGACCTACAAGGGCTGTTGCGCTCGCCCGAGATCGATCAGGATCTGTCAACCTTGGTCAAGCAAGTGGTTGGTGTCTACGACATGAAGCAGGGTTCATATGGGTGGTTGTCAAAATTGGGGTCCCTGTTTGTGCACCTTAAATAAAAGGTGCCGTATTATATTAGAGACGCAGAAAGGGACTATAATTTTGACCGCCGCCCTTATGAATGTCTTGGCGAGTGATCTTTGGGCTTTGCTTTTATGGATGCTGCCAACTTTGTTTACTGCATCCGTTGCAGTCGCCCAAATTCCGCTTCGGGGCCGGTTCGAGACGGCCATCGATGCGGCTGTTGACGTTCGGCTCTATTACGCTTTACACAGATATTTTATGAGAGCCGTGGCTGGCTTTCTTGCAGATGGATCAGTTGAGGTGTACGCAAAGGGATACGCAAGAATCCCCCTGACGATGAAGAGATCCAGGCCGTGTTTGACGTGACAATCTTTGTTGTGCCGGCAGGGCCTCCAGCCGCCACAGCACTCTCCATCCATGCGATACGGGTCACACAGCCGGGGTGGGACGGGCACCCCATAACGAAAGGACATTGCATCACTTTCGTGCGTAGGATTGGGGTTTGTGGTTTGTAGAGGATTCATTGTAGGGTTTAGGGTGATGAGCTGCTGTGTTTAATTGAGATTGAGATTTCAATTCCTACCACGAACCTCGATGCCTTATAGTGGATGCGAGAAGTTGGAACATTACAGATGATTACTGTGGGGTGTAATTATATTATTACTATGACTATTACTCTTACTATTACTATTACTATTACTATTACTATTACTATTACTATTACTATTATTATTAATATTATTATTATTTTTTTTTATTACTTTTACTATTACTATTGTCATTACTATTACTTAGTTTTAAGGGCAAACCCAGCAAACTCTGAACCCTCAGTCGTCAACCGTCAAACCCAGAAATCCCAAATCGCAAGCCCCAGGACCTATAGTCAGTGGAAGCCAGAAAGTTGGAACATCATTCTCCTCATGCCCTTAAGGTAAAGTATAAGGGATCCTAGCGCTAATCCTCCTAAGGCCATGTTCCAACTTTCTGGCTTCTATAAACTGTCTTGAGGCCTGGATGACGGTCTGGAGTCCATGTGTCCAAGACTGCGACAAGTTCCCAGCCGCGTCTTGGATCGCATGAATGTGGGCATGCATAATCTTCCACAGACAATCGCATACTAAGAGTCTATCTACAAATATGCGAATACTGATAAAATAGAGCACGTGATATTGATCCAAAGCTGCATGAGCAAGACTTGAAAACAAAAAGCAATCACAGCAACAATGACAGCAACCAGGCTGTGTCCTGCGCAGCCATAAAGCTGCAGCTGCAAATGGGAGTCATAACATAAGGGTCCTATTATGTCGGTTACTATATTCGGGCCCCCTATTATCGGAAAGCCTCCAGGCCAATCCCGGAGAGATCAAGACCTGTTAAAAGGGCCCCAACAAGTCACACAAGCAAAATTAGCATAGGGATATCCCATATACATCCCCTTTGGGTGAAGCCCGAGGTAGAGTATATAAAATGCTTATGCTTATGTCCTTTTTTGGGCCTCTAGGTACGGGTTTGTACAAGGGGTACCTTTCTACGCGGAAGGTGCATAACCCAAATGACAGGGGAATTAGTACTGCGAGTTAAGGAATACCTGTGGCCCAACAGACCTACATTTTTAAGGAAATATGTACATATATATGTATATATTTATATATAGAAACCATAATAAGGAACCCTGAAAAGGTACTGTAGGTCTTTTCGGCTACAGGTATTCCTTACTTAAAAGGTATTGGGCTTCCTGGGTTGCTTGCAGTCCCCATTCTGTTCAAGTTCAAAGCCGTGAAGGCACCAGCTGGAGTCGTGTTGCTTTAGCCACCATTTGTTGTTGAAGAACTTGCAGGAGGCCGGTTACGATAAGTAGAGGTTCATATGCTGCCACAACCTATTATGATGATTATTACTATTAGTAGTAGTAGTAGTAGTAGTAGTAGTAGTAGTAGTAGTAGTAGTAGTAGTAGTAGTAGTAGTAGTAGTAGTAGTAGTAGTAGTAGTCTCATTGTTGTTACTACTACTACTACTATTAGTTTTAAGGATTTACTACTATAGCAGATAATTCTTGTTATTGTTAGTGACACTATCATTCATTTGTTTCACCGTTACTGTTATTGTCGGTACATATCAGAATTCTTCTCGTTATTACTACTGTACATTTTTGTGTTGTTTTGACCTTGTTATTACTATTAGTATTATTGCTAGAATATTATTGTTACTATCAGTGATATGTGCCGAAATGCGGATTTTGGGACATGCAATGTTCATGCCGAGGGGGGACTGAAGGACTGCTTCGCAGATAACCGGGCCACCGGCTTACCCAGAGACTCTAATATTCCTTAACTAGTGAATAGACCTAACATGATGATAGGATCCCCTAATATGATTTAGGATCCAAGCGCTACCTCATACCCTCCCACGTTGTTCGGAGATCTACCTTTTTTATACAACAGTTCCTAGCCACGAAAACTAGGTATCCTAACAAAGGGGTAGGGTATGAGCCTCAAGGTAGGATCCAAAAATAAGCTACGCCAACCTACGTCTAGGGTTTAGGGTTAGACATAGGGACCTTTACACTTAGACTCGGGTTTAGGGTTCCTTTGGGTATAGAAAGGAAACCGTGGGAGCAGCATGCCTTAATTTGCAACAAGCTACTTTTACTGTAGGCACCTATAATAAACCCTGGAATACCCCAGAATGGAACTCAACGGGACCATGGAAAAATGTAGTTTCTCGTAGGCCGCCTCAGCCTCAGAACCCAAGTCGGGCTGTAATTAGCACCCTGAGCAAAGTCGGCATGTCCGAGAAGGAGCCCGAACAGTACCCTCACAAGAGCCTTATCCTAAACGGAACCCTGATAGTACGCTTGCCGGACCGCGAGGAGCAACCCTTAAAGCACCCGAAAGGAACACGAAACCCCAAACTCTAAACCTCCAAACCCGAAATCGTAAACGCCTACAGCCGTAAACCCGGTCGAAACCCTAAACCCCCAAACCCGAAACCCTGCTCACTCAGGCGGCAGGAAATTTCATGGTCGTCGAGTCAGCCAGAAATCTGCGCATCGTCCCGCACGTGCGCGCAAAACTCGGAGCAGAGATCTTGCTGCGGACTTCACTATCCGCTGACCAAGCTTCCGGGTTTAGGGCATAGGTTCAAGATTCATGGTCATAGAGAAAGTGTAGGGTGTTGGAGGGTTATAGACAATGAGATCCTACCTAAATAAGAATACAGTAGAGCCAAAAGAGGTTCTCCCAGCTCCCGTCTGCCTCTCTGAGATCCGCAGTCGGCTCCGCGACCGTCACCATACGGGGATCCTTAAAGAGAGCCATGGACATGTGAGGACCTAGTATACGTAGTGTAGGTAGCTTTTGACCTTTTTGGGGTCCTATAACCCCTATATCCTTTAACCTGAAGTTCCCAGGATACTCGACAAGTGCTTTAGGGCTTTAGGGACAAGACTGTAACCAGTTCAATACAGCCAAAAAGCCGTAGCACCCCACATCTAAAGCTACCCTGCAACCTTGGATTTGACCCCATGCCGTGATTTATGGAGAAAGCGGCCGCAGCGGGGCCAGACCCGCAACTTTCTCCCGGGGCTCGAGGTTTAGGTTGCTGACTCAGCATGTAGTCTTGAACTTTTCTGAAGTTTATGTATGAAATACATAAATGTGTGCATACATGCATATAGGCATGCATGCATGCATGCTGCGTGTGCAAATTGATCGGTTTCAGCTGGACAGATAGATCGATGGTTAAATACACGCCTAGTTCGAGATAGAGATCGAGATAGAAATAGTCCTATCACCGGCTAATGTTGCCCACCTTTCATCGACAGTAATTTCAGCAACCGGATCAAGAGACAAGTCTTACATATCTATGATCGTTTGCCGTTCACTTCCCCCTTGCATGATGATGTTTTCCCATAAACTAGGGGTACCTTATTTTGGGGTCCATACAATAAGGATCCTACTTTTAAGGGTACTCTATTCGGGTCCCCCTAGTTTCGGAAACTCCCACATATCTCCCTAAACCCTTTTCAAGTGCTTGAGGCGCTGAAGTCAGACCCGAAACCCCTAAACTCTAAACCCTAAACCCTGAACCCTAAACCCTCAAACCCTAAACCCCAAAACCCCTAAACCCCAAAACCCATCTAAACCCCTAAACCCTAAGCCCGAAACCCCTAACCCCTAAAACCCTAGAGCCCACAGTAGCTCAGAAGGATTCCCGCTCTTTGTGTACAGTGTACAGCTACTCTGGTGGCCTTGGACGCGGTGCTGCCGACGGGACAGGATTCCTACTTGGAGGGGCAGGGGACTTAGTAACTAGGGTTATATTTAGGGTAACTGTAGTTATATTTACTTATAACCCCAATTAGGGTACTTATAACCCTACTTACTAAGTCCCATGATCCTCCAAGTAGGTGGTATTAGGGAGTCCCCTTAAAGGGGACTTTACTTCCGGCTCCTTTCTGAAAAAAGGGACCGTATTGAGAAGGTCTACATCCCCAAGGGTCCCCCTACTGTAATCCTATAACTCCTAAGTATGGCATAGCTCACAGAGACTCCCGAAAAGTTCCTAGAAAGCACAGTTGGAAGGGGTGCCCTGGGTTTTTCTCGGCTTCCCGGCAGCCTGTCTGGTTGACTGCAGCCGCGACTCTCACCCTGCTTGTGAGAGGAAAGTCGTGCCAGCCCGGGTGTTGTAAGTTAGGTTTACGCTTTACGGTCCAGCGTTTAGTGTTAGACTCACCAAGACGCCCCAAGTTTACACTTGGCCTGAGATGCCAACCCTTCTCCCCTGAACTGCACAACGTCCCATTTCCCGTACAAAAAAAACAATCACTGAATATTGGCTAAGTCCTAGATCCTCCAGTGTAAAAATGGGTTTAGGACTTTAGGGTTTAGGACTTGGGGTATTGTCCATTTTGGGTAGTTGTCAAAATCAGGATTCTCTTTTGGGTTCTTGTTATAATACGGCAAATAATATTTAGGGTACCCTAAACCCTAAACCCTAAACCCTGAACCCTAAACCCTAAACCCCAAAAAGGGCCTTTACTTTTGACAACCACCCATTTATACTGAGTCCTCTGACCTCTAGATCTCATTACCTTCCCTAAGGCTCCATATACCCTTAAAGTATGTACTTAGGGTTTAGGGTTTAGGGTTTAGGGATGTACCCCTATAGTCCTGAAAGTACCTACATAGGGACACCTTTAAGGCTCAAGTATCTATTATAAAGGTACATGGAGCCTTTGGGCTTATATGCCAACTCTGAAACTCCGCCTCTTCACCCTCAGACAACTCCTATGAGGATTCCTTGTCTGGGATTGCTGAGGGGATTGTAGGGTTTAGGGTTTACTTAGGGGTACTTAGAAATAATTTTAATTTTTTGCTATTATAATCCCTAAGAAGCAGCTAAAATTACATTTTTCTAGGGCTCTAAGTTCAGTAAAGTTTAGAGATCTTGTTTTTTGATTTCGCAGGTTTTCGGCTTTTTCGGTTCCAGGTACCTATACGTAGTAAATACTTGTAACTCTGATTTGCTAGGGCAAAGTACATACTGTTGAGGGCTTTAAGTTGAAACGGCGGGAACCTTTCTCTGAGGGCTCCCGACATGTTACCCCCAATCTTGAAAGACTCCCACATCTACAAAAGAGGAGGTTTAGGTTTAGGGTTTAAGAGTATAGGGTTTAGGGTTTAGGGGTGAGGGTTTAGGGGTTTAGGGGTTTAGGGTTTAGGGTTTAGGGGTTTAGGGTAGTGTTTAGGGTTTAGGGCATGTGACTTTATCTGTTTTGAAAGGCTGGTCTATGCGCAGGTTGATGCACCATGCGTCTGGGTTGTCTCCTCACCACCGTCAGCACTGTCACCGACACCATAACCAAGAGGGTCCAAATGTACGACCATCATGGAGTAATTAAGGTCGCCAAAACCATACTAAGGATCGTCTCTTGGGACCTGAGTAGTGCATCTGGAACCTCTGGGTAATGTGATAGTCCTACTCGCTGCTACACGCATCTGGATGATGATGCAATGATCTCTGAACTCTTAACTTTACCCCAAACCTTGGGCCTTAAGCCCTAAACCCGAACACCAGAAAGCCCTAAATCCCTGAAGCGCAGAAACCGAAACCCGAGCGCTTTTCGCCCGCCACCAATGGCACGACAGCTCCGATCCGCTTTCTGCAGCCCAAGGCCTGCCTTTAGGGAGTACCCAGAGGCTCCATAGTAGTTCCTTTTTGGTATTACCTTATAGGATTCTAAATATGGATCCCAAAAAGGAACTACTTTGGAGCCTTAGGGTAAACCCTGTAAAGCCCTAAGCCTTCAACCTTGTTTACTGGCTCCTCCATACTCAACCATTACAGTGGATAGACAAAGTCCTGCATTACCCATTATAAGGAGTATACCATAGTTCCCATAGTTTAGAGTCCTTAGGGTCATGCAGGATTTCGTCCATCAGCAGTATGGCCCCTGCATTAAGACCCGTAGTCAAACTAACCTCCTTAAGCTAAACCCTAAACCCCAGACCAAATCAGCCTCGTTAAAATATCCCGATCGGAAGATCTATTCCGCACGTTCGGTGAGGTCGACTACAGCAAAGATGGCAGCAAGATTGCTGCTGGCGGTCTGAAGGCGTTCAACCAACTCCTTAAGCAGGTTAAGGATTTAGAGCATACCCTAAGGCTCCATGTACCCTTATAGTATATACACTTAGGCCTTAAAGTACCTACATAGGGACCCCTTTAAGGCTTACGTATCTACTATAGAGGTACATGGAGCCTTTGGGATGGGGCTTCGTAGTTTGCTCTAAGTGCAAGAGGGCTTTAGACCTCAAAGCTTCTAGATTGTTTTCCTGAACCCTAAACCATTAACCTTGAACTCAATTCTCAAAGAGGAAAGGGGCCCTCAAAGCACACATTAAACTTCAAGTCTTCCTGTTCTCAAACCCTAAACCCCCAAAGCCCATGAACCCTGGACCTGTCTCTGTCTGTCATGCGGTGTGTTGCATGGGCTTACGGTTTAGAGTGAAGGGGTGATCACATGTGTATGTGTGTCTTTCTATGTATTTCTCATGTACAGGTTGTGTGTAATTGAGTGTGCATACATGAGACCTCCTGAACCTTACGCCCCCACACCCTGAGCACACACTAACCCCCAAATAGCAGAACCCTGAACATTCAAGCCCCAAAACAGCAGTATCAAAACTGTCGGAAAGCTCCAGCCCTTCCATTTTCACGCATCCTAAACCGTATAAACCGTATAGTTTAACTAAACCCTAAACCCTAAAGACACCGCGGAGTCGAAATCCCAAGACAGTAGAACTCTCACTGAAGCTTTGTCGGTGTCGGGTTTTCCGCTTTAGAGCTGAAGGTTAAACCTAAACTCAAAAGCCGAAAGCCAACGGTTTAGGGTTTGGGGTTCAGGTTTAGGGTTTAGGGGTTTAGGATTTGGGGGTTTAGGCTTTAGTGCTTGGGCTTGGGTTTGTTTAAGCTTTTCTTGGGTAGTATCAGGGAGACCCCTTGAAGGGGACCCTTTGAAACCCTACCTCTGGCTCTTTGAAAAGAGACCTTATTGAGAGGGTCTACATCCCAAAGGGCCCCCTAAACCTTAAACCCTAAACCTTGAACCCTAAACCTTAAACCCTAAACCCTAAACCTTAAACCCTAAACACTCTTTATCATATGTATTTAAACCCTATCTCGATAGTGGCAATTTGTTTTTTTTCGGGTCTTGGTTCCTCATGCCACGAAGGAAAAACCAAATTGCCACTAAATGACCTCGCAATCTGGTGATTTTCGGGGTCGGATAGTGGCAATTTGTGTTTTTTCGGGTCTTGGTTCCTCATGCCACGAAGGAAAAACCAAATTGCCACTAGATGACCTCGCAATCTGGTGATTTGCGGGGTCGGATAGTGGCAACTTGTTTTTCTTCTGGTCTTGGTTCCTCATGCCGCGAAGGAAATCACCAAATTGCCGCTAAATGACTTCGCAATCTGGTAGTTGCGTTTATTTATGTTCATTCTGTGAATGTTGTGTAACGTTCGGTGATAGTAGTTTTAAGCTGTGAATGAAGTGAAACTCTTTATTTTCTTAATGTTATGGGATTCTAAGGGTGGGTGGGTGTTCTTTC